AAAATATTATGTCCGAGAGAAAACAGAAGATAAAGAGTAAAATTATAAAACATGGCAACATTTTAAAGCAAGCAAAAATGGTCGTTGACTCTTGGCCTGAGAAGAAATTTAAGACTTTAAAGGATAATTTATTTTTCCAGGACAATAACCTTAGCAGAAAAAGTACCTGTAAGTAAGTAAGTTTTCCATGTGTGCAACCCACACACTTAGCTCTACTGCTCATCCCACAAATGCATGTTCCTTGAAAATGTGGCACCATTTAAAAGAGAAATTAACAGGCTTCGACGCTGTTGAAGAACGACAATTCAATGTTTCTCTTTTTAAGCCACGTGTTAAAGCGGCAGTGAGCAGCTGAAGCGTTTTTATTTCAAATTAAAACGCTGACTCGTTTTCAARAAGTCACTTGCTTTTGTGATAAACYAATTATGTCATTAGGTCAACTAATTTACTGTTTCTTAGTGCCAACACACTGACTGAGTCTCTGCTAAATGTCAAATTTAAGGTCTGACAGGGGCCGTGAAACGATTGTGAAACTGAGTCCATTACCAGTTTTAAAAGCTGTCAGGTGAATTCTGAAGTCTGAGCATTGATTTTCACTCTTTCCTTATCGTGGTCACATGAGCGGACATCAATCTGATCAGATAAGACGAGACAAACAGGTGACATCAGCAGGAACGGGCTCTGAGGAGACGCAAGGCCTTTTGAGGCTGAAAAGGACAGGTTTTCTGCTGACGCTGCAAAAGCGAAGTGTCAACGAGGAACACCTCGGAGAACAACTGAGTGACAAGTGTGTTTGTGTGTTTCACTGGGCCTCCTATCATTCCTCCTTCTCCGTTTTCCTGCTTCTTCCATTTGAAGTGCTCTTCCTGGAGCCGGGAGTCTACAACCCTCTGTGCATGTGCATGTGTGTGTGTGTGTGTGTGTGTGTGTCTGTGTGTGTGTGAGAGAGAGAGGAAAAGGGGCCAAAGTGAGTCACCGACCCCAAATGATTGAGTCTCTGCCCCCGCCAAGTCGGGGACAGTTTTCCTGCTGTCTTGTGCTCACACACATGCACACACACCTTCCCCAAACTACAGCTCATACGGGCATCTCACCCAACACCTCCTCATTCACACACTGACAGCAGACACACACGGAGCACTTAGAGTCRCAGCAAACCGTGGTTTTAAACGCACACTTTAGTCCCAATGAGCTCTGGCTTCTGTCACTGTCAGTGCCGAGCAGCCTGGCATGTGCAAACACACCAATCAGAAGCTTCACTGTACAACAACAGGGAAAAGGATGGACTCGGCGTGATTTTGAGGTGTTGTTGTAAACTTTTCACCCGACTTTGACAAGTCGGACGTTCAAAGGGGTGCGCCAACCAACACTGGAAATGTCAGAAGAGAAGGCCCTTCCTCGAGAAAAGAGAGGAACGCCTCTGTACGTAAGCTGGACCGCAGCCATAAAAAAACACGAATCACCTGCGACTTTGATGCCACTTGGTGCCGTCTAGCAGAGCCACACCTTGRTATTATTAGCCAGCAATTGGTGCTCGTGTTATCAGCCTCCGGTTACACATTGATGGCAGTTCCCCATTTATACTCAGGCAATATGGCCGTGTTTGTCTTTACTCTACAGAGGAGGGCGGAGAAAAGACTCAATACTAGAATAATACAACCAATCACTCCTCAAGCATAGATAGATAGATAGATAGATAGATAGATAGATAGATAGATAGATAGATAGATAGATAGATAGATAGATAGATAGATAGATAGATAGATAGAT